TTTTTTTTTTTTTTTTTTTTTGTCATGAAAATTCTATTAATTTTTATCTAATGAATAGTTGGAGAAAGCATAAATGTAATACAAAAAAAAAAGGAAATTTATTTAATGGATTGCAAAAGTGTACATGTTTTTCAGAAGATGGAAATTTATACACTAAGCTGGAGATTGACAAAAAAAAAAAGTAACTTTAATTTAATTGTTGTATGAACTGTTTGTTTTAAAATATTTACAATATTTAGAAATTTAAAACCTTTAAACCACAATGATCATCGAATACGTAGAGATTTAATGACTGCATTCAATAGTAACATGTCAATGTATATTAATGTTTATCACAAAAAAATCAATGATCTGAAAACTGCAATTAATGATTCTTCTGATGCTACTTGTATGGTTTCATCTGAAGGAAATGTTAAGTGTACCAATATTGTTTATAACAATCCAACTGTGTGGAAACTCAGTCAAAATCATATTCAAAAAGAAATATTAAATTTACAATCTAAAATAGATAAACTTAAAGAATTACAAAGACATTTGAAAAATAAGCGGCCCCAGTTAAATATTGATGAAGAGAAAGAAATTGAAAATAAAAATGATGATATTAATGAAAAAGATTCAAGTTTAAATATACTGTCAGATTTTTTGCAACCGGAACAAAGTTCAGGGTAAACTATTACAATTTTATTTCATGAATTGCTTGTACTAAATATATTTACACTAAACTATTTAAATTATAGGTTATCTCAATTATACAATTTAACTCACATGGATCCTGGTAGTATTCTTGTAGATGGAGTTGAACTTCATAAAATACGACATAATCATAATGAAAAATTAAAAGTAAAAAATTTGACTTCTCCAACTGATGCATGTTACTGTGTTCCATTTATGTAAGAAATTCAATTATTCTTAATAGTTAATTAATATGTGTTAAATAATTATAACATTTCTATTATTTTTTTTACCTAAAATATGCTATTAGGTTTAGTGATAGTGATCCAGTTTTAAATAAAGAAATTAAGAAACTAATAAAAGCTGATAAAAAAAATAAAAAAAAAGGTCGGAAATTCAGAAAAAAAAATGCCAAGTTAGATAAAGAATGTATGTTAGAAAAAATGAATTGTTTTAACCATGATAATGATCATTGGAAAACAGCACCATTTTGGACTGGTAAGATATATAACATTGTCCTTTCTAAATATTAGATTATTTCATAGTGAAAAAACTAACATTTTACTTTATTTTGATTGTTACATAATGAATTAATATTTAAATTATTTTGATGGTTCAATCGCCTTTGTTTTTTTTTATTCCACATTCTTAAATACAATTTCCAACTAGATTATATGTTATTATTTTTAATAAAAAAATAAGAGAAATTTGGGAGAACTGAGTCCCTCTAAAAGTTTGTAGCTCAAATTAAGAATCTTAAATAATCTGATTATTTAAGACACATGGAACTTTTTTAAAATTTACATTTATTTAATATACTAATAAATAAGAAAGTAAGAAGATTAAAAAAGTTAAAGCATCTTAGATTACTAATAGTCATAAAGAATATTATAATTTTTATACTATTAGCTGTGGGATTAAATATGGCCAATTTGTATGATTTTATAATGTCCTTTAAACAAAAATTAAAAATAAAGAATATTAGTGTCAAGAAATGTATATTGTATCGAAATATCAAAATTTTTGTCCTATACTTATAGTATTAAAATTAATATTTTAAATATTTAAAATTAATACTTTTATTTTATTTTATAACTATTAATAAATACTACTTTTTTTTTTACAGAAGGTCCATTTTGTTTTTGTATGAATGCAAATAATAATACTTATTCATGTCTCCGTACAATAAATTCAACCCATAATTATCTGTACTGTGAATTTGTCACTGGTCTAGTATCATTCTATAATTTGAAAATAGATCCTTTTCAACAGAGGAATAGAGCTCATACTTTAAGTTTAAATGAAAAAGAGTGGCTTCACAATTCACTTACTGATAAAATACGATGCAAAGGTTCAATACAATGTGCTGTGAGTCCTATTAAAAAGAAAAAAAAAGATGATAATTTGTCAATTACAGGTAAAAAAAATGTTATTTCTTTATCTTTATATACTAAATTAATTACTATATGTTAATAACTTTATGTGTGTGTGTATATTTTTTTAGATGAACCAAAAAATAAATTAATTTCAATAGATCAACCTAAAGATTCAGATGTAGTACGATACAGATAATAAATTTGATTAGATCTAATTTAATAATTCAGTATTATTTATTTGTACAAAATTATTTATTAAAAAGTTTTTAAATGTATTATTATTACTTGATGTAATCTATGTTTGTATATATGTTAAAAATCTAATAAATTATTTAAAGTATTTAAAAAATGTTTATTATGTCATTAAACTATTTGACTCTATTAGCTATATTGTAATTTAAAAAACATTGACATCAAGATAGATAAACAGTCAGCCTTGGGTTGTTTATTACTTTTTGTTACTCAATACAAAAGTTTACTTTTGTTTGTTTAGTAGTTAATCATGATTGCACTGTTTCTGTTCTCCTTAGCACTATTACAACAAATTTCAGCACAATGCACTACTGGTAGTATAACACGAAAAGCAAATTATTACATTTTAACATTAGAAATATTTTGTGGTACTTTTTTTCAGGAAATTGTATGACTGTAAAAGAATCAAAATTTGATTCAAATGTTAAAGCAAGCTATTTTTTAGTGAATAATATGAATGATTTGAATAATTTTAATAGTGGTTTTTATTCTAATTTCAATCATTTTGGATCGGTTAGTTCTACAACTTCAACATATACTGGGAATCCACCAATAAAAACAAAACCAAAAGTATCCCAAAATGCTTTTAGGTAATTTTCTTAAAATAATTATTAAAATTTTGAATGTAACTATTATCAAGAGTATTGATGATTTTTAGTCCACTTAACTATACTTACCCATGTGGTGTAAATGGTAAAGGAAAACAATCTAGTGTTAGCAATAATCGAGTTGTTGGGGGAAGTAATTCAGACCCAGGTAATTGATATTTAGTTATAGTTTTTATGTGTTTTTAATAAGTATTTATCTGCTATTGCTAAATTATATGTGCATCAATATAATTGAATCACTTATATCAATAAGACCCAACACCAAAATATTAATAACGTTAGACTTTATCATAAAAAGAAATATATACTATTAAATATATTTAAATCATTCTACTATATTTATTACCATTAAATTATTTTAATTAATTCATAATATAGTTCATGTTATTTCAAACTTTGGATATATTTTTTTTTAATTTTGAAATTAGTTTTCAACAAAAATTTTCAAAATAACATTTTTTTTAAAAGAAAGTTTATACCTAAACATTTTATTTTGAGTGACAAATAATATTTTATTTAATATAATGAAATATAAATTTGATTTTTTGGAATAACATTATTCAACATAATATATAATAACATATATGAAAAACTAACAGGTAGTAAGATGAATTTTAATTTGTGTAACACTTTTATTATTAGAAAAAAAAAATAAGCTCCATCTCTTTCTTTTCCTCTTCAATTTATATAAACTTATTATATTCTAAAATTCAGTATTTAAAGAATTAAAATTAATAATGTACTCTTTGTTAAAAACAAAAATTGAGTTTATCTCAGGGAAAGCATTGTAGAGGTTAAACCCAATAATACACAAAATGTTAAATGTTAAATGTTAAATGTTAAATAAGGTTAAAATTTATCATAAAGATAATATTATTTAAGGTATGTGCTGCAGCTTTTGAATTTTTAAAATGATGTATATATCAAAATCAATTTTAACTTACCACATATATGATTTCAATATTTTTTTTTTTTTTTAATTAAACATAATGTATATATAAATAGTGTGATCAAAAATCTTTATTTTTAAATTGAATTCAAATTCAGTTTTTTCTGATATAATATTTTTATGCTTTTTGAATCATAAACAGAAAAATGTGTTTACTTATTAAAAAATGTATTATTCATAATTTATAAATGTAGGTTTATATTTCTAGGTGAATTTCCATGGCAAATATCCTTACAATTAATCACTGGATGGACAGCTAGACATATATGTGGTGGTGCAGTGATAAATGAAAATTGGGTAGCTACTGCAGCCCATTGTGTTAATGGTTTGTCAGAAAATATACTTTCTGTTGTAGCTGGCAAACGTAATCTTTACACTGATGAAAGTAATATTTAAATTACTTATTTTTTTTAGTTGAAATATGAATATTTATTTTTAAATTTTCTTTATTTTAAGGCTCTGAACAAAGAGTTAAAGTGGTAGATGTATATTTAAACGGTTATAATAGAAAAAAGTTTTCAAAAGACATAGCATTACTAAAAGTATCACCAGCATTGAAGTTTGATGGTGCAACAGTATCTCCAATATGTATACCTAATTCTGGTATGCAATTCAATTCTGGTAAGTTTTGAAATCTTTTTTTATTATTTACCTTTATTTTAATATTTTTTTGATTTAAAGATTCAGCAGTGGTAACAGGTTGGGGTCGTGTATCAGAAAGTGGAGCTTTTGCTCACATATTGCAAAAAGTTGATGTACCATTAATACCATTAGACACATGTTTACAAAAATATAAAGAAGCTGGCTATAGTAGTTATGTTAGTAAGTGTGTAATCTGTGGTGGAGGATCAAGATATAATCAAGCAGACTCCTGTCAGGTATAAATTTAATCTATTTTTTTTTCACATAGCATTTTATATTAGGGCTGGATTTAGGAAAAGGATGAAGTTCTAAAATTATTACATAACATCATAAAAGTTTTCTAGTTCCTAATGATTTAATATTGAACAAAAAGAAATTAGGTAAAAATTTATTAGAGATATAAATGTTTAAACTGTAGGCCCACATTTTTCTAAGTCCAGCCTTTTACTATATCCATGGGACTCAGATTATTAAAAATACATATTTAGGGTGATTCAGGTGGACCTTTATCTTGTTTGGGGATGGACAATCGTTTTTACCTTTGTGGTATTGTTAGCTGGGGACTAGGATGTGCAAGACCTAAATACCCTGGAGTCTACACTGCAGTGTCTTGTTACTCAGACTGGATAGAGCAAACCATCAATAATGAATAATTGTTTTTTAATGTTCAAAAATTTATCAACATTATATACATTAAAATCATATTTTTTCAACAAAGTAAACTAAGTATATATTTAATTATTTAAATTAACTAAATTTTTTTTAAATAATATATATGTATATTTTACCATCTCATTTTGTAAAAACATTATATATGATTTTATTAGTAATATTATATAGATGATGAGTCATTATTCCTTTCTCTTTAATTTATATTCTCTTTAATAAGTAAATAAATATTACTACTTTAATAAAAAAACAATACATTTTGTATTTTTTTAATTAAAATTAAGCTAATTTATACAATATATAGATTTGCTACTATTTACAGAAAAAAAACCCAAGAAATTATAACATTGCCTTTTTCATTATAGTAATTCTATAAGTTCAGATAGTCATTTGCTTACCCTTCCAGTTCATACTTGGGTTTTTTTAAACGTATGTGTAAAGTTCTGTTTTCTAAATTGACTATTTTAGACATGAAATAAAAACTATTAGGTTTTTTTTAAAGTTTTGAAACCTTATTTTTTAGTATATTTCTAAATTAAGAAAATTTTTGATTATACTATAATATTATATAACTCATATTTTAAAGTTTACTGTAAATTTAAGACATTTTAACTTAAATGTTTTAATATGATAAATGATTTTATTTTTATATTGATAACAATCTCATTTAATATACATTTACACTGTTGTGTTATAAGTAAAGGTGAACATCGATAAAAACTGATGTTAAATAGTAGTCAACAATGACTATATCGGAAAATTAGTTATCGTTTCTTTAAAATAAATTAATACCTGCTGTTACAATAACAACCAATACTTATTAGTAAAACAGCATTATAAAGAGTTATGAAAATAAATCAAAATGTCCTAGTTGTTATTTTTTAATTACAATTTTTGTTAGTCTACTTTTTCTATAATTTAATACTTTTCGGCCGTACTCTTTTAAGTATAAACATCAATAACTTCCTAAATACAGGTGCAAAAGTTATTATTGGACAATAGTTTTCTTAATTAAATCATTATCTAAAAAATATTATAGTTAATTATGTGTATTGCTATTTGAAAAATTTATGTTGACTCTTAAAGATATAAGATATGGACATGAAAAATGCGTCATGAATAATAAATTAAACCAATAAAAAACTTATCATTTTTATCATTATAATCTTATAAATATGTGGTTTATGATAAATAAATCACTCAGTGTACATATTTTTTTTAATTATAAGTACACAATAGTTGATTTTTTTTTGTTATTACCCATATTTTATAATGTACAATTGACTTATTTACTCAAAAACTGCAACTTTTTATTTCTTATTTATATTAATATGATTGTTATTAATAATATTCTAAATTATTATTAATTACTATTATTAAAAAAAAAATAATTATGTAAGTTCACAGGCAATTAAACCTTAATTTGCATCAATGTCTAGACAAAAATTTAGGCTTACAAAAACTATTAAAATGACATTAGGAAAGAGATAAATTTTAAAGTTAACATGAATGTTAAATTTTTTTTTTCTGAATCATCATTTTTTTTAACTTATTTTAACTTTTATTTAATTACTCATTTGAAATTATGATTACGTAAATTGTTATTCTATTAATTAAAAACAAAATTATTAACCAATATTTAAAAAAATAATTGAGTAAATTATAGTATATTACACAGTAATTCCAAACTGAATGGATATTAAATTTTAAATCATTTATGGACTACATGAATGGAAGAACAATATTATTCGTAACTGTACAGGTTTAAAGTGGCCAAAAACAAATAGAATTAATACTCTCAAATAGTGTTTGAGACCGGAGGTATATTATGATTTTAAATTAATCTAATGAATACATTTAAAAAACCAACCCAAACATTAGCTTGTGATTACAGAGTACTGTTATAAAATATATTTCTAAAATATGGTTTGATTAGAGCTGTTAAAAAACCAAAGCCTCTCATATTTATATCTATGCTCTCTCACATAATTTTTAGCGTTCTTTGTGTTAACTGATAACGCTTGTTACCCAACAGGTAGGGTGACCGAGTCCCTCACACATCAAGTTATGTTTGTGTAAAATAAACACAATGATACAGTAATTTAATAATCTTCAGCTTGCGAAAATAACATATATTATTTGGTGCTAAATTGGGTTTTTCCGTGTAGAGGTCAAGTATGGATCTAGTAAGCATTTTATAGGAAGGCAAAATGCCTAATTGTGCCTTTGAAGTGACAGAATCATTATTATTTTAGCTTCGATGCGAAGCTGAGAAGGTATTATTTTTGAGTTAATGTAATAATAAGTCAATACTAGGAACGGTTTAAGGGCAGGTATATATATATATATGTGTGTGTGTGTGTGTGTTCAGTAAGTAAGGGTCGGGTTTCTATTGTTCGTAATAAACTTTCCTTACTTTTTGAACGTACAAAAATATATTTATAAATACATTTAAGTATGTACTGCAAACTGGATCCGGGTCTGAATTAAGCTTAATGTATTAACTTAAAAAAATGTTACGAATTATGCATATAAACATTTATAAACTACTATTGAATTTTTAAATGAAAAAAAAGTAATAAAAAACTGCAAAAAATTTTTGGATTACGGTCTGATTGTATTAGCGGGGCTGCCAACGAGTATTCCACTCGCAGACGCTATCCCACTACTGCTCACCGCGGAGACTTTTGGCTGCTGGGTTTCCCCCCTGGCCCGGTTCGCCTCTCCTTAGCTAACCTGGACTTCTCAGACTACTCTGTGAAGCCCATATTGACGACAAGCTTAGTGCGGACGTCCGTTCAACGCAGACCGACCCGCCACAGTGATCCCCACCTCAAACCATCCACGCAATCCGACCTCTAAAGCAGCTAGATTACAGGAACGCGCCACCGTTCCCAGTCTTTTACTTGGAATGAAAATATTTCATTTAAGTACTGTAATCTTTACTAAATATATAAATAACATTCTAAAGTTAATATTGCAAATTAAAAATATTTATAAAAGTTTCAAATTTCAATAAATATTAATATTAATTCCAACATTATTGTGATTTCTAATTAAATGTTATAAATAAAATCAAATACTGCCACATTATCAACAATAACATGTGTTTAAAGTTTTTTTAATGTTATTATCATTAATGATTATTATTATTTTTATATTGGTTGATTTAATTATAAACAAATTTACAGTTCTAGTCCACACGGAAAGTCACTGTTTTGTTTTATAGTTTAATTCATTATAATAGTACTTTTTCCAGTACTCCATAAATTATTATTTTTAGGTAAGTTTACTTAATGATAACAATATTGCCATATTCCAATGAGAAGCCGTTAAAACATTAAATACACATTGCTTAATTACTAAATTATAAAAATATCAGATTTTTGAATTTACTTGTATTAACTCAAGTTATAGCTAAATCATTACCTATAGATAGGACAGAAATTTGTTCAAGATAAGTTTTTTTCTCCATACTTGACATTGGTGACCTTTTTTTTTTTGTAATGGGACAAATAAAGATGTATAACTTAATTGTAGAGGTCTGCCTGCCACGCATAAAAACCATCTTAATTATTAAGGTCAAAATATATTCATGTATTTTAGGAATTATAGTATTTGAAATTATAAAAAGTATTCGTAGAGAATATTATAAAATTGTTAACATTTATTTTACATAAAATTTTTGACTAAATATATTTAAGAAAATTATATAAACAAAGCTAAATTATATATGAAATATGATAACAATTGTTTTGAACTAATGGAATAAAATAATTATATTATACTGAAAAAAGAGTTCCACCTTGGGAAAAAATCTAAAATTTTTATATTATCTAAAATTGAATCTTAGTAAGAATATACAAGAAAAATAATTTTTTTCCCTAAAATTAAATGTTTAATTATTTATAAATAATATTTAACTATAGAATATTTAATTTGCTTAAATTTACTTTAAATATAATTGAACTATTATATTTTATTATGCACTATTATTATTATTTAGTTGATTATTATGGAAGTTGTATGTTATTACTAAATTAAATAAAGAACATAATATGAGTGATAACGAAAGTTTGGTTCCTGTGTGTAGCAACAATACATCATTATCTGAACCTAGTTGTAACATAAGTATTTCGATACCAAGCTGTAGCAAAGCTGTTGTTATGTCAAATTGTAATACTAATAGTTTAACATTAAATTGCAATGTACCTGGACCATCCAATGAGGATGAAGAACTAACATTACCCCGTGCATCAGTTAATAAAATGATTAAAGATGCATTACCAAATATGCGGGTTGCCAATGATGTTCGTGAAATGATAATGAGTTGTTGTACTGAATTTATTCATTTAGTATCATCTGAAGCCAATCAAGTGTGTATGTCACAACAAAAAAAAACAATAAATGCAGAACATTTACTTACAGGTATGGTTAAAATTATTGATATTAAGGTAGAATAGATCTAACTGACAACTCTTATTATTGTTGATTGACTAAAGAAAGATTTTACACTTTTTTTTTAATTTTATAAGTCAAATGTCTCTCAAATCAATATTTTTTTATTAAAACAGTACTTAAAATAACTCTTCAATATTGAAAATAGTTTTGTTTTTTGGTAGAGTAGAATGAAAGTTGTAAAAATAAACATTTTAATTAATAAAAAAATTAAAAAGTTATCAGCTAAATCTTTTCCACATTATATAATTATTTTAATTTATAAATATTATAGCATTAGATCATTTGGGATTTGGTGACTATAGAGAACAAGCAGAAGAAGTTGTTAAAGATTGTAAATCAAAAAGAAGAAGACAGAGTACTAGACTGGAGAATTTAGGTATACCTGAGGAAGAATTGTACAGACAGCAACAAGAGTTATTTGCAAAAGTAAAACATTTTTTTAGTAATTTTATAGTTTTTATTTATTCTCCCATGTATCATTTTTTAACTTCCATGCGAAGCTGAGAAGGTATTAATTTTACTATGATGTGTTTTTTTTTTGGGGGGGGTCTGTGAACGTTCAGTCTCAGCTCTCGCTGGACCGATTTTGATGAAAATTATGTCAAAAAATCACATCTTATCTAGTCGAAGACATAACCCTCAAAATTTGAAAAAAATTCTCTCGCTCCCCTATAAACGGGGGAAATCACCCAAAAAATTATTTAATTTTAATCACTGTCAGATATCAACTATACTTGTCCCATCTATCCTTCGTCCACACTGTGCCGCGACCCCACTGTGCTACCTTTTTTTTATTTTTATAGTTCACTCCAATAAGTAATAATAAAATGCATCATTGATTGTTATTAACCAAAGAATTAAAAATAATAAAAGTTATTTTTAAATTCAATTACATTAATATATATTATTTAAATTTTAATTATTACTTAATTAAAAAATTAAATTACAAAATACAATATTTTTTTATTTTTTGTCAAATTAAGTGTTGTATTGACAGAACCTTAGAGTTACATCATTCTAAAACTAAATATAAAAAAAACGGTAGCACAGTGGGGTCGAGGCACAGTGTAGACAAGGCATAGATGGGACAAGTACAATGATATTTGACAGTGATTAAAATCACTATCATAAGAAACGCTTCGATGCAAATCTGTAGATAGTGTTTCATTTAGAGAAATTGGTGAATTATTCCAAAAGCAACATCAACTCTTATTTTTTTGATTATATCCTAATTAGTAGTTCTTTCATTTTAAAATATAATATATGAATAAATGCTAATTATAATTATTAAATTTAAAATGAAAATAAAATAATTTAGGGAAAAATAAATGTATTATTATTATATAATATACATAAATAAAAAAACCCAGCACAGTGGGGTGGCGGCACAGTGAGGTTGTGGCATAATTGGGTCCAGTATAGATGATATCTGACAGTGATTAAAATCACTATCATAAAAAACGCTTCGATGCAAATCTGTAGATAGTGTTTAATTAAAAAACAAAAAAAATTGTTAAAATAGCATATTTTTGAATACGGTAGCCATTTGCGCATAGAAGATAAGTCGTCGGGAAAAAATTTTTTTTTTTCATTTGATAGTATATAACATAACCTTTGATTTGATATATGTTTAAAGGACGCAGTATTTCCGGAACATTTTCAAAAGTTCAGTTGAAAAAGATCTATGTTTTTTACAATATTTCAAGTTTTGGACGCCCCCTATATGAGGGTAAATTGTCCAATTTTAATAAAAAGTATGTCAAATAAAAGATGTACTTACAATGTATTTAGAAAAAAAAAAATTTGTGCTGATATATACATTTTTCAAAAAATTATAGCATTTTTAAGTTGAAAATTTAAAATCCGAAATCGAAAATTTTAACACAAAAATAGTGTTTTTTTAACTACGGCAGCCGTTTAAATGTAGATGAAAAAGTGTCGGGAAAAATTTTTTTTTTTTCATATTATAGTACATAAAATAAGCTTTAATTTGATATATGTTTGAAGGACGCAGTATTTTCGGAACATTTTCAAAAATTAAGTTGAAAAAGTTAATTTTTGTAAAAAAGTTGCTATTTTAAATCCCCCCTAATGAGCAGGTTAAGTGATAGATTTTTAAAAAAATGATATCAAATGAAAGGTAAATATCTAAGGTTTTAGATATAGTATAAAAAAAAATTATGTTGAATTGTTTATTTTTGAAAAAGTTATGGAAGTTTTAAGAAAAAAATGACAAAATTTACCGATTTTTAAATTTGTAATTTTGGATATTTCCCCCATTTTCGGGAAACGAGGGAATTTATAAAAAAATATATCAAATGAAAGGTAAAGACATTATGCATCTATAAAAAAAAATATATTGATTTGTTCATTTTTGAAAAAGTTATGGTAGTTTTAAGTGAAAAAATTTCAAAAATTAGCAATTTTTAAATTTGTTATTTTTTTGGAGATTTCCCCCATTAAAGGGAACGATGGAAATTTTTTCAATATTTAAGGGTAATGTCTTCAACTAGATACGATTTGTGATCTTTTGACATATTGTTGAAAGAAATCGGTCCAGTGAGTGCTGAGAAAAAGTGGCAACAGACATAAAAAAAAAAA